AAGGCTGTGAAATCAGCTAAGCAGATACTCATGATGCGCCTATCTTTTGCCCACAAACTTGGGCTGGTTTGCGGTTGGGAAAAGGCGACCAATGCCGTCTTCCTGTATATATGCATGCTCTGATCTTGTTGAATGGGATGCTGGACCTGTTTTCCAGCAGGTCTCCCGGTCCCCATCAAGAGTCCGGAGCCACATGGCGAATGGGTGAGGTCCCACTTACCAACTGGCCTTGGTACACCCCTGAACTGTTGAAATACAGACTCAAGTTCGAATCCAGATACCTTCAGATGAAGAGAATAAAATCATTCTGAATTGCCTGGTGCCGGTCAGTTCAATGATGATATCTAAAAGCCGTTTCCCATTAAAAAAAAAAAAAAAAGGAAAAAAAAAAAAAAGAGTGAGGTCCCACTGTTGGAGGTTGCTCTTATCGCCTCCTAGAGTTGGTTGCCTGCCGATGTTTCGGAAGCCGGTTTGAGGAGCTGCCCATACGTTCTCGACCTGTTGCCTGAGAATACAGGCTTCCTCCTGCATTCTGAATTTGGGGTCCAATTTTAATGCTGTTGCCTTTGGGGGGGGAGGGGAGAAACAAACAAGCAAACAAACAAACAAGCAAACAAACAAGCAAACAAACCAGCAAACAAACAAAGGCTCCATCTGTTGATGGGGAGCTGCACCTGCTGGGAATCGGGTCCAGCTTCCCTGCACAGAGTTAGAGATGCTTATCAAGGTTATCAAGGTATGAGTTTGATTGTTTGTTTTTCAAGAATGGCCCTTGCGATATCCCTCTATCCTGGCGGTGGTAAGAGAACCGTCAGAATTGAGGGCTTATCTGTCGGGCTGTTCCATCTATTGGTGGGGAGCGACGCCTGCTGGAAAACCGGGTCCAGCGTCCCATTGATACATCATGTGGCACTGAGATTGGTGTTTGTTGTTTCCTGGGGCTGTGGTTATTATTGACTCATCCTGGGGCTCCGTCATCCCATGGAGCTGCTAGCATCACCCTTCCCTTTTTAGGAGCACCCCTTAGCTATTAACCCAGCCCTATTTCAGCAGCCCCCTTATTTGCTTATTGCTATGTCTGTTTCAGTAAGCCCTTTACATCCTATTCCCCTCCACATTTTGACAAAAGCTGAACATTCGTATGCCTGGGACCACGCCGTACCCCGCTGAATCCAGCCAGTGCCCTGCTACCCCCAAACCAGTGCAGTTCAGGAGGGCATGTGTTGTTGTTAATGCCCTGCCATTTGCTGCTGCACAGGCACAGGTGTCACCACTGCAATGGCACCCTGTACTGAGAATGGCCTCCTGCTGGTTGAGTTGTCCGAGCTTGGAACCCACACTGCTTCTGGCAGGCCGCACGCTGGAGGCAACCTAATGTGTGCATCGGTCGCTGCAAGGGGCTTCCCCAACTCCCGTTCTTGACAGTCGACTGGTCATGTATCTTCGTCTTTGTATTATATCCTCCAGCACGTTGCCATGGCAAGTAAGTCCTTTCTTTGAGTCAGAGCTTCCCCCTTCACCTCCACCGTGGAGATCAGTGACGGTGGCCATCGGGGGGTCTCCTGGTGTTTCTTGTCGTGACATCTCTGCCCTTCTGAGGTTTGTTATCTCTCAACCACTTATCCTGCTACTTACACTGCCAGTTGAT